GATATCCGGCAAACATTTTGTTTCCCCGAACACAGAGTTCCCCGTCTGTGTTGGGTCCCAGAGTAGCGCCGGTATGCAAGTCAACCACTTTTAGTTCAGTGCCCGGAGATACGGGACCCGCACTGCCAGGGATGTAGGGTTGGTCGACAGCAGTGCCCCGACATATGAACAGGTATTCTGTCATTCCGTAACCTATTTTTCAAAAATAATTTTCTCAATATTAATAAATATTATAGCAAGGTTGTTCAAATTATAATGTCAATTTTCTATAATTTTGAATAGCTACTATTGAAAAATAATATTTCTAAATTGTGGCAATTATTATTTGAAAAATAAGTGTGGCAGCGACTAGCCCAATATAAATGATTTCAATATCAGCCTTGTAGATTTAAATATTAATAACATTTCTTACAGTTTTGAAATTATTTTGTGATAAATTAAATTTCTATAATAATATTATACAGTCATACAGTAACTTAAATTATTCTAAAAAATAAGTCTAATTAAATAGATTAAGCATAGGAATATGAATTGCATTTAATACAATTAATTCATTTAATGATTATATTTAATTAACTAATTTATCAATATAAATCATAAAATTTCTTTACATTATTACCAATTTTGTAAAGTAAATGTTTTTACAGTTCAAATTAAAAATATTAGATCCAAAAGTTTTATCTAATTTTAATGTTCTACATACATTTTATGTGTTTAGTATTGACGTATTTTATTTACAATTTTACATAGATAATTTTCAATTTAGTTATTAAGATCAAAACACAATTAATAACAATTAATAACACTTACCTTCACGAAATTGAACCTGGTATCTGTCTATAATTGCCAGTGCAATATTTGCCGGAAATGCAGCACCTCCTGTATTAACCCCCTTAAGACTTGACAAATCGTATTTCTGACACAAATCGCCTTCAATTAGTTTCCTACCAAACGAGGGGAAAGTCGGCAAAAAAGTGATCCTATATTTCTCAATAGACCGGAACAGTAGGTCAACCGTGAAGTCACTATAAATGATTAGTTTTACGCCCAGACATAGCTGTAGAGGCAAAATGGACGACCCGCTAATATGTCCCATAGGGTAGGGCATGGCTACCACGT